ATCTGTTGCTTGGGCTCTTTTGCATCTAGATCTATTATCATTTGAGATTTGGGGCATTTTTGGTATGATTGAGAGCTATTTCGAGTTAGAGGCTTAGATCTGACGTTGCTACTTCAGATCTAGGCTTGTGATGGTCCAAAATGTCATAAAGCTTCTGTCTAAGAGTTGTTGGTAAAGCCCCTTTGTCATAAACCCTAGCCCTAGAGTGTTTTGGGCTTATATCTCCTTGGTTTCACATAAAGTTTGCAACTTTATGTGAGGGTTAGGCTGTAGAAGAGTGGATCTATGGATTGGAGCCCATGCATGGCTCGAAAAGCCTCTGTATGGATTTAGAACTGAAGAGACTCGGCGAGTCACATGGGTGTACTCGACGAGTTGTATGAACATGTGCATGGGCTCGGCGAGTTGGAAGAACAACTCGGCGAGTCTGTTGAAGATTGCCTTGGACTCGGCGAGTCTGTTCTTGGACTCGGCGAGTCAGGTCGCAGAACCCCTAACCTCTTCTGGTTAAGACGCAGATCAGTGAGTCGAGGGATGACTCAGTGAGTTGGACAGGTTGGGACTCGGAGATCGTTGGACTCGACGAGTCTTGGGGTGACTCGGCGAGTTGACTTTGCTAGATCTGTATCCTGGTATTTAGGATGGTGTTATGTTAGTGACCTGGTTAAGGTCGGTACCCGGTATTTAGGGTAATGTTATGTTAGTGACCTGGTTAAGGTCGGTACCCGGTATATAGGGTAATGTTATGCTAGTGACCGGTTAGGTCAGAATCCTGGTTAGGATGTTGATATGATATGTGATCTGTTAGACTGTTTGTCTGGTTAAGGATCTGTTATGCGATTAATTGTTTATGTGCACATGGTTGTTTGAAGGGGGTTGGGTTGAGGCGGTTCCTGCTTTGCGCTATAGGCCAACATACCCAGGGCGGACCGGATATTCCGAAGGCCCAGCGAGCGGTCCGGATAGGCTGAAGGCCCCAAGAGGGCGTACCAGACGTGCCGAGGCTCGGAGAGTGGACCAGGCCGACTGAAGGACCGGTGTGGGCGGACCGGTCATACTGTAGACTCAGAGAGTGGACCAGGTGGATTGAAGGCCCGGTGCGGGCGGACCAATCACACTGTAGATTCGATGTACATGTCTAGACTTGGAGGGTGGACCAGGTGGACTGAAGGCTCGGTGCGGGCGGACCAGTCACACAGTAGACCCAATGTGCATGGCTGTTCTATTTGTGATATGTTATGAGTATGTTTATGTGTGGTTGGTATTTTGGGGGTAACTCACTAAGCTTTCGGGCTTACAGTTCCAGTGTATTGTTTCAGGTACTTCAGGAGACCGTGGCAAGACGAAGGCGTGATCGTACCGCTCCTCATGTTTTATGATTTATGTGATATGGTTCTGGGGGATACTCTGATGTTTAAACTATTTTGAAAACGAGATGTATGAACTTAATGGTTTTTGAATGAATTAAAATGTTTTAATTTGGCTCAATTTTTATGGGTGTTACAAATACGGGATAAACTTGAGGACCACGCCGTGGTGGAGGTCAACCACGACATGGTGACCAAATTTTGGTAATTATAAATATTTCGTACATTAGGTTGATTCCATGGGGTGGAGGCCGTAGGGGTGCAACTATTAACAAAAAAAATACCCTTCCAAGACCCCTTTGAGGGAGGAAGAAGGAAGTGGATTCACCTTAGAAGCTCAAGACCTCTTTGGATCCAGATGCGTCTTTCCCTCAAGCTTCATTTAGTGGTATAAATCTCTGAACTTGTTGGTTACTTCATTAGATCTTGCTAGTTGTGGACTTTTGTGCTTCTTAGCCCCATAATATTGGTCCATTTGAGTATGAGCTACTCTAGACCAAAGGAGTTGTCCTTTTAGATGTTTTAGAGTGTCTAAAGTGATAAACATATTGGCCCTTATAGTCTTTCTATGAAAAGGTTATGATGTCTTAATGGTTTAAGAAGTTAGGGTTTTAAGATTTGAACCCTTAATGGCCATGCAAGATCATTAAGGGACTAGCTTTGGGATTTGGATGAAAGGACTTAATGGATTAAGCTCATTTAGAAGGAAAAGTTGGCAGCGGAGTATGTTGGGCGTACTTCTGAGTACGCTGCATGTACTCTCTTTAGTCCCCGTATCTTGATTGTCAGTATGTCGTGCATACGAGTTGAGTATGTTGGATGTACTCAGCCTGAGTTGACTCTTAACATTTGACCTTTGACCAGGATTTTTACCAAGTTTGACCTAGGGGTATTTTCCGTATTTTGAGCTATAGTCTCAGTTTTGGTCACTATTTGTTGTAAGGTGGCCGGTAGAGTTGGTACTCAGAGCAGCGTGTTGTTCAATTATTTCGTCAGAATGTGAGGTGAGTTTTCTCATTGTATATGCGGGTCGAAGGCACCAATGCCAGCCCGCTTGGTTATGTATCTTGGTATATAGGATTTTATTATGTTGTAGTGATCTATTAGATCTTTATCCTTGTATATAGGATGTTCTTATGTTGTAGTTATCTGTTAGATATGTATCTTAGTATATAGGATGTTGTTATGCTGTAGTGATATGTTACATCTATATCCTGGTATATAGGATGCTTCTATGCGGTAGTAATCTGTAGATATGCCTGATTTCCTGATGACTGGTTATGTGGTTATCTGTTGCATATGTCGACATAGTACGGTTTTGGGTTGAGACTTTATTGTTATATGTGTGAGCCAACAGACTGGGGGTATTCCAACCCGATGATTATGGACCCGAGGGTATACCAGTCCGATGACTGAATGGGCACGTTACATATTGGCATTTTAGTCCGATGACTTATTGGGCCGGGGGTAATCCAGCCTGATGGTTGTGGACCCGAGGGTATTCCAGTCCAATGACTGACCTGGCATGCATGATTGTATATGTTCTGGTTGTGTGTGGTACTTTGGAGGAACTCACTAAGCTTTGGCTAACAGTTTTCAGTTTATGTTTCAGGTACTCCAGATAATCGGGGGAAAGCAAAGGCGTGATCGTACACATCCTTCCGGTTTTTATGATTTTGGATTTTGGGACTCTAATTTGTGATTATTACTTTTGACAACAGTGTTTTGAAAACAATTATGGTCTTTGGTTAGATTTTAAAAATAAAAATTTTACCTTGATTTTTGGGATGATACAATATTTCACGCATTTTCATATAACTACGTTTTTATAAATAGGTATTTAACATAAAATATTGTTTATATAAATACATATTTTGCATAAAAAAAAAGTTTTAAGAAAAGGTTTTTATGTATGTATTTTGCATATAAAAATATATATTTTTAATTTATATAGAAAAAAGAAGGTTTTTATATAAAAAATATATGTTTTTTTTGTATAAATATGATTTTATACAACGAATAAAACATATTTGAAAAAAAAAATGAGAAAAAATGTAAAAAAAACTAAACTTAAGATGAAATCGTAACAAAATTTTGAAATCTTGGTCAAAATTGTAAATTTTTGACCACATTTATAATAAAATTTAAATTCTAGACCAAAAGTATTATTTTTGAAAATGAGATAACCTTAAAATGGTCAAATTGAACACAATTTTCAATTTTTAGAACATAATCGAATAAAACAAACATATAATAACTAAATCGATTATAAGTCCAAAACATAACGATTTTTATGAAGTTTTCCTTTTAAGAAAATATATAAAACGAATATTAATCAAATGTCAACAAAAATAAATAGTTTGGTTGAAAATTAAAATTTATAAATATTTATTCAAAATTTATATTATAATTTAATATTATATAGACAAGAAACTTTTGAGAAGTACACATGAAATTATTTTATTGTATAATACCTTTTAATCTATTTGAAAATATAATTTAGTAAATTAATAAATAATTAAAAGATGTATATTTAAAACAAATATATATAAATAAATAAATAATAAACTTTTATTCTATTTCTTTTACTATTCAACTTTAATTTTATAAATCATAATAGTTTTAATTTTAACTAGAAAGGTTACCCCCGCTACGCGGGGTCAGAAGCTTTCAATGTTGTTTCCGAATTGATAAATATGACAGACATAGAAAATGCAAGGATGAAAAGTCCGGGCTTTGCCCCGGACAAAAAATGTAAAAGTTTTGACTGCAAGGACCAAAAGTGTGAAAATGGCTAAAGAATTAAAGGGGTAGGAATTAGCAACTTTTTAGAAAAGGGATCAAAGTTGTCAAACCGTTAAAGTTTTGTGGCCAAACTTTAAATATTAAAAGGTTCCAAAAAAGTGTAAAAATATTGATTGCAATGACCAAAAGTGTCAATGGGTAAAGAATAATGAGCAAAGTTGCCAAAAAACATCCAAATTTTAGTATTTCTAACTTCCAACAATAATACAGGGACCAATTCTGCCAAAAAAATGGGAAGATGAATGAAACACAAACAAAAGGACATGAATAAATTAATTAAAGAAGTACAGGGACCGGATATGTAAATCAAGGGACCAAACCTGGACAAAATATCCCAACTTTACTATTCATTTCTTCCACAACTTTAATATATACTCCCTCCGTCCCAAATTTATAGTCCATATTTCCTTTTTGGTTTGTCCCAAAATAATAGTTCACTTCTAAAAATAAATAACATTTTTACCAAAATATCCCTCATTATTACTTAACTGACTAAGCATTTAATGGAACATTAAATGCAAAGTAAGGACGAAACTGTCATTTTATTAAATAAAGTTAATAATAATTAATGTTTTTCTTAATATATGTGTTTTTTTGTCTGTGGACTATAATATTGGGACGGAGTATATAATAATCATCCAAAATTCAAAAAAAATAATTCAGTTTTGCTCAAACTCATCCAAAATATAAATATCTAAACCAAATAATACGATCATTGGATCAAACTATTTTTGTTTTATCCTACCCTAAACCCTAATATCCCAAATCATTTCACAGTGTTACCCTGAAAGGTAAACTACTTGCTTGCTCCGTGTGTATATCGAAGTCATGATGGGTAAGGTTCTATTTCAAATTTTTAAGTCGTAAGGAAAATCTGGATATCCTTCTACAGTTATATCCGTTTATTCGAGTTCTTTTTTTTTTTTTTTTTTTTTTTGAATCATGTTGTCTATGATATCTTTTGTTTATCGTGGTTGCATACATATAAACTCTGTTTTTGGAATTTCACTGTCAATTATCACCTATCCATTAGAAACATAATCAAGAAACCGATTTTGAAAAGATTCATTACATGCGTTCGAAAGATCATTAGATAGTTGTTAGTTATGCAAGGATGCAAATACGAAGGGTTAAGCTAGGTTTTTCCTGTGGAAATTACATTATGTGGTCATGTAGTTTCATTAGTTTTGAGTTGATTGAAGTTTGATTTTACCAGTGGAAGCCATTGATGCAACTTGTAGCTTCAGGATAGACTAGATTGAATTTGAAAGAAATTGTATCCCTGTAAAATGCAATAAAAAACATAAAGAGCTGAACCCCTCTAGGGTTTGGTGTATTCCATCATCACATACCCTGTGTCAATATCCTCTAACTTTTACTTCAATACTATCTATATCATTATGTGACTACTCATCCACCTTTCCATTTGAGGTTTTTTATTTTATTGACGAGGATGAGGAGGGCATTCACGTCTTTTGCATAGACAAGACAGTACTTTTCGGTCGGACAAAAAATTAGAATTCGTGACTTATTGAGATTTTCCTCTTTTCAAACACTACCTTATTGAGATTTCCCTTCGGTATTCGGTTACTCTCTTATAAACCATTATTTTACTTAATACACTTGCATTATCATATATTAGGGTTACAAAGTGTAATATGCGAGTCACATTTCCTTAAACAAAGCTTACAACCACTGAATTATCAGTATTGAAAATAAAGCAGTTTCTTCCTCATGAATATGCTACCACACCCAAAACCTTCATTGATACTGAAAGTATATTAAGAATAGTTTTAGAAAGGTCAAGTTGTTCCTTATTTCTTATTATATTCCATTTTATATTAAAATAACTTGGTCCCGATTTTTCCATGAATATGTCAGAGAATTATAGTGGGGCTTGCAACTTGTGCTGAAGAAGATAAAATCAGTAACTTGCCTGAACACTTGATAGACTCAATCTTAGAGCGGCTCCCTGTTCAAGATGCTGTTAGGACAAGCATTTTATCAAAAAAGTGGAGGTACAGATGGACCAAAATGGGGGCGCTGATTTTTGATGAGCATTTCTTCAAAAAATATGCAGAAAACGCACCTTATAGTCGTAAATTTGTAAGGATCATAAACAAAGTTTTGATCCTTCACAAGGGTCCTATCTCAAAATTTCTTCTCCATATACCAAAGATGGGAATGTATCTTTATGGTTTTGAAGACGTTGATCAATGGATGATGCTGTTATTGAGAAATGGTGTCAGGGAACTCATCCTTACTAGTTCAAGTCAATCTTATAAACTTCCTCGGTATATGTTTTCTTGTCTAGAATTGACAAACTTGAAACTGGAAAACTGTTTGTTCAAGCCGCCACTTGGGTTTGAAGGATTTATCAATCTTCAACATCTTCATCTGCAAACTATTGATTTTACTGGTAACTTTAGTGGAACTCAAATCAACTTACCAAAGCTGAAGAGTTTGTGCCTGGATACGTGCACAAATGTTTACAATTTCAACATCAAGGCTACAAAACTACAAGTTTTGCATGTTTTAGATTGTCCTGACGCCATGTTTTGTCGCTTATTCCATAGTCCATGTCTTACTCACGTTGCTATGTGTTTACCGAAACCTATGGGAAAGTTTACGCGAGTTGAAAGAATGACATTGGCCATGATGTTAAGTAACTTGCCTGAAATGAGAGGTTTAGTTTTCGATGGTATTTTCTTTACGGTAAGATACAAAGTGAACTTTTCATGTTTAACCTTTGGTAAGTTGAAATCTCACTTTCACTTCACAGGTTTTGATTCCACAAAAGATTCCAAAATGGCTTCCACATCCAGTCAATAGTTTGAAGACACTATGCTTTCTAAATTTTAAATTTGGTGATTTGAATCAACTTCATGGTGCTCTTTGTTTGCTTCGAAACTCGCCCAATCTAGAAATTTTTTCTGTGAGGACTTTGGAGACGGTTAAGTAACCAGTGATAAATGTATACATACATACATATATAATGATGCAAGTGTTGGATGCTAACTATCGTTGCATTTTTATGTTTTTTTTTTGTTCCAGGAATGTCGAGTCATTCGTTATGATATGGGACCAGCTTCAAATCATTTAGAATCCCCACACTGCTTGGACTGTACATTGGATCGATTGCAAATTGTTGAGATAAGACATTTAAAAGGATCAAAACCGGAAATGCTTTTTATAAAGCTTCTTCTTGCTCATTCTCCTTCTCTCAAGAAGTTTATCATTATTCGAAGTGGAACTTGTGCTGCTAATGACATTGCTAAGGATGTTATGTGGTTCCCTCGAGCGTCGCCAAAAGCAAAAATGATCTACTTGAATTCTAAGACGTAATTCGTAAGAATCTTTTACTACAATGCAATTTGGCTTTATATTTTCGTCATTACAAGTATATTTGATTTCTCTTCCATTTCTTGATTTGTTTGATTAATTGGTTTTGTTCATGACAAATAATATTGAATGTTGGTGAATAAATGGTCATCCCGCCATTCGTATTGCATTCATGATACTTTGCTTAATATTGGAAAATAATTATCAGTATCCATAAACTCCCAGAAGTCGACAAATTTGTGTCACCGACTATGTCAGCATTTCACTTCCTTAGCCTTCAACAAAAATCTTTAACACTTGGACATAGTTTATAGTCTTGTCCTCGTCCCTAGCTCTACGATTATCTAAATATAAAATACTTTTTCTTGTTGTAATTGGGTAGATTTTTAGTGCTTTGTAAGAAGATAAAAATTAGTACAATGTTGTAATAGAAAATAATGAAAATAGCGAGCTATAATAAACATTTAAAGTACTCCTATGTTTCTTGCATTTAACCCTGATAATCAAAAGAAGCATCCTCATGCATTTAATAGTTTATATTGTTTGTGGTTGTTAAATGTTCGGCATGACGTTTTTCAACAACGTTGTGGTGCTTGTAACCAAATCTAGAAATATTGTATGATAGGCATGCAAAATTCAAATGTTAATATAAAGGGTTCTAAAAGTTTATTTTTGCTTCTATATGGCAACACAGATGGATGTTGAGTTTTCATCAAAAAACGATCATAGAGAAATGTGTAGTTACAGTTTGTCAATTAGCATATTGTTCGGTTTCTGATTAGGTTAATACCATAAAAACCATTATATTTACATTCTCTTTCTGTTTTAACCCTATTATTATTTTTTTGTGCTGTAAAAACCATTATTTTTTGGGAGACTTTTCACCTTTTCACTTTTAGTAGGTTTGTAGGTATAAGATGTCTATGTGTCGGTTTTTGCTTAGGTGGAATGTATATTAGGCTTGACTAGGTGTCATTGAATGCTAACTTTGTTTAATCAGCTCGTTAGATAAAAAATTAAAGAAGAATTCTTCGTTGGGGACTCGAACTTGAGTCATGTCACGCACCTTACCAGCTAGAACGAAATTGTATTTGTTACACTTGAGCACTTTTACTTTGTTTATACATATACTACTACTTAAAAAACAACAATGAAGATGTAGAATGGATTCAAACTACCAACCTTAAAATACCAGGGATAGTTCCCACACCACTAAAGCATTAGAACATTTCGGGAAACACTTTGTAAAAACGAATATAATGGTTACGAGTTTCGAGTATTCTATGTAAATATTATCTAAAAGTTAGACGATTTTTTTATATATTTTCTAATGTTTATATATTCGTAAAACTAAGCTTTTTTTTTTATCTTTATGTGTATAAAAATATATTTATACATATAAATATGTTTTATTATCGTTATGTGTATAATAAAATATTTATATGTATAAATATGTACTCATATATATAAAAACATAGAACAATATGTTTTTTAATGTATTCATATGTATAAAAATAGATTTAATGTATATAGACATAAAAATGTATTTTACGAAGTGCTAAATTGCAATTAAAAAAATAAGTTTTATAAATTAAAAAAATACATTTTTTATAAACTATAATAAAAGAAATACGTTTTATACACTTTTATAATTAAGGTAAATAAAAGAAGTAAACAAAATTGTCAGTAGTTCAGTGGCCTAATAGGTTTCCTTGGTATATTGTCTTTTTGTGTTCGAGACATCATGTTTTCATTTTTTTAGCTTTGATTTTCCGATGGCTTTCTCTGAGTGGTAAAGGTCTTTATTTCGTAACTTAAAAACCAAAGTTCGAATCTGTTCCTCTTCCTTATGCTTTCTTTGTTTTTTAAGAAGCTGACTTGCTATATAAGCAAATCCAATAGCCACATCATCAAAATGACCTGCTATTTCAAGCAACCGGTTGGCAACCGGCTGAATACAAAAAAAATGAAACTCATGGTGAAAAATAATGGCTTTTGTAGAACACAAAAAAACTTTAGGGCTAAATCAAAATAAGGATGTAAATATAATGGTTTTTAAGACATTAACCCCTTCACGTTTATGGGACGAATGTATGAGTAGGTGTCAGAGGAAAGCACGGAGGAGTTTAGGAGTTTCGCAGATGCGTTGTCACTATTTGAATATTTGTATTGATCGGATACACTTCAAGTAAATTTAATGAATAACAAACTAATAAAGATCAAACGGAAAACTAAAGAATATATAAAATTATTCTAGTGAATCTCTTTAATCAATGGATTGTATCTAATCTATAATAAGAACAGGTCCTTATCATCAAGATATCAGATCGACTATCTATTTTATACATATTCGTATAACTGCCTAATATACAAATATTACATAAGATCATTATCTTCACATTGACGCAGATAAAGTCTTGAGGCGTTGGCGCTGATGATGGCGCTGGCCTTGGTCAGCGTATAAAAATGTTTTACTCATCAAATCACAAGGTATGACCTTACGATATTACGGTCTAAAATATTTGCATAAACTTAGTTTTACTAACGTTCAATCATTATATACTTATCATGGCAATATTCATGGCTTTCCTGGGATGCTTGGAAGTTTAGATTATTTTCATTTGGACTGGGGTAGTTCCCCTAATGCATGGCAAATGCAATTTTGGGTCACCTGACATAGTTGAAGCAACTGCATCAAAAGATCTTGGGTTTTGTCATTCATACCACGGTCTTTTCGGCTCAAACAATGATATAAATATTTTGGAGATGTCACATATATTCAACACTTTGTGATAGGTCCGCACCTTACTGTCCATTTGAAGTAAGTAGAACGACATTAGACTACGGTTTACGAGTATTATCTTGTCGATGGTATATATATCATGAATTTGTTATGTTTGTGAAAACATTAACATGTCTAGGTGATCTAAAACGCATAAAGTATACATTTCAAAAAAAAAAAAAAAGCTAGAAAGGACGTCGAACGATCATTTGGAGTCTTCATGAAGCACTAACGCATACTACAAAACCTAGCACGTCATCAAATGGTGGAAAAGCTTGTAGCTATTATGTATATGTGTATCATTTTACATAATATGAGTTTAGACGACGAGGGCAAAACGATATGTCAGTATCAAGAATATATATATGTATATATATATATATATATATATATATATATATATATATATATATATATGTATGTATGTATGTATGTATGTATGTATATATATATATAGAGAGAGAGAGAGGAAGGATCATTTGAGAACTTATAGTTTCTCGAGAACCTGAGAACTAAAAGTGGACCGTCAGATTAAAAAAATTAAGGGCTAAGATATTTTATGGCAGTTTTGTAAATAAATGAGAAAATTAAACACGGGGGGTATGGTTTCTGAAATTAATCGCAAGGGCATTTATGGTACTGAAAAGATTATTTCCCCCGATGCCTCTCTCAAATCCCTCGATCGACTTTGTCTCAGCATCCCTCTTTCTCTCACAACTTCATCGTTGATCATTCCCCAATCCATAACCATCATCTGAAATCTATGGTTTCCTCTGTCAATTGTCTCCCCTGTTCATTTTGAATCAGGTGAGGTGAAGACTATACGCGACTCTTTGAAATCTAGGATCCTTCGAATCTGAATTCTAAGCCATAAAATGCGATGACTTTTCAATTTAGGTCGTCTCATCATCGACGAGCACACTGCAAGATGAACTTCAGGCTACCAGACGATCTAGGTCTGGCATCAGGCCCTTACGACTCACCGCCTGAAAGCTTGGACGAGCTAGGATATGAGGAAGATCTGTTTTGTACTTATATTGACATTGAAAAGCTCGGATCCAATGGAACAATGGTGGTAATCTGGGCGCTCCTCCATATTTTTCGTGTCGACGCACCGTTCATCTTGTCTACGTCGTCTCTAGTAAGCTCCTTCTCACCTGCAATTTCTCTGTTGCACATCGCTCTAGTTTAGCAAAGTTATTTACAAGGTAAAAGGATGTTATACTTGTGTGATATCACAAGCATATCAATCATATAGGTTTATTGTATATACTTTTGTGAGGTTTTTACGACATAACCTATTATTAACAGTAATTGTTCGATTTGGATCAAATCTGCGTTTGTTTTCTGCTGATTTTGTACATATTGAATGTATGTGATACTATATTCAATCAAAATCATAGACGAACCATACATTTGAAAGGGATAGAAATATTTTCATGTTTGTAGTCAGTAAATGAGTAAATGGAAGTACTGATGATTGGTTCTCCAACTATTGCATGGTATGACAATTGTTATTATATTGTATAGTTTTCCAATGTTTATTCTTTGAAGTCGATATATGTACAGAATATTTACTTTTTCCAATTTGATAACACTACTATTAGTTTATTACCAATTACCTTCCTGTTTTAACCCAATTTTAGGGTAGAGAACCAGAATTATAGGTATAATTGGTCAGATACTAATTTCTGAGTTTTCTGATTGTTGCAACCCAAATCACCACTATCTTCTCTCTAAATCCATGCCAAAAATAAAACAAAAATCCAGATTATTGGTTCCCAATCTGTAAATCAAACACTACTGGATTGATTTTTCACTTATATACATCCATTTGGACTAACAAATCTCTTATACTGACAGAGGGTTGGTCAAATTAATCTAATTGCTTAACTTGTAAACCAAATGGCTTATCATCTGCAAAATCTTGTTCAAAAGTTATGTCTGCAATAAACATGAATGCATCACAACCAAACGACCATGGAAAGCCAATTGTTCACCTTGTAACAGAAAAGGCAAGAAAGTAATGGGATAATTCTCCCCAAGAAATCAAGAACTTCCCATGGACAAGAGACTTGGAGAATTTCGCCCAACTTATAATTGACATCATATTAGTAGTCACCAAATACCTTTTATACCAGTTCAGTAGCTCTTGGTCCTAACTTTTGTGGAGACATGTTAAAACTCCAAATATAACATTCCTAGCAATTTGTATACATTT